TCAGAAGGACGGAAAGCAGAGTCAGCCTTGAAGTGGCCAGGATTGAACTCCTGGCTGTGAGCAGAGTTTGTCTACAATACTGCATTCTAACCACTGCGGCCACCAGGGCTCCTACTAAATCTGTCAGTTACGGGGAAATCAATCAAGAGCAAGGGAGGGTCTTTAGGCTGAGACATCCCACTTTCAATCTTATCTCCTAAAGTCTAGACCAAAATCAAGTTTAAACTGATCCCTCTGGATTTGCCCACTTTGCACTGAATCTGAGACTTCAGACACTTTTAATAAATGAAATGAAGAAGTAGGCCAAAGCCTGGTTCTTCTCTACCATCAAAGGGCAACTATTTTCTGTTGAGGTTCACCTTCCCTGGAGGCATCTGCTGAACACCAGGTGAGGCTTCCCTTTCACTCTTTATGCTAAGCTTCTTCCTTTCCACCCAGATGGGAGACAAATATGGCGTGTACTAAACGCCTTTGTGGATTAGACTTAAAAGTTGCCCGAGAATGGGATAACACTTGGCCAAGGACTTTACTCAATCCTCAAAATTCCTGTTGGGAAAGCCAGACCTAGAGGTAACACCAAGCAGGCTTCCTTCACCTATATCAAACCACATGGAAGCTACAAGCCAAAAAAGAGGGGATCAACCTCTTGTCCAAAGCACCTGGAGGCAGGACAAGAAGCAACGGATGGAAACTCATCAAGGAGAGAAGCAATCTGGAATTAAGGAGAAACTTCCTGACAGTTAGAACAATTAACCAGTGGAACAGCCTGCCTTCAGAGGTTGTGAGTGCTCCAACACTGGAGGTTTTTATGAAGATACTGGACAGCCATTTGTCTGAAATGGTACAGTGTTTCTTCCTAGAGCAGGGGGTTGGATTGGACTAGAAGACCTCCAAGGTCCCTTCCAACTGTGACGATGTTCTAAGTGTTCTCAATTATAGAAGAATCAGCATCCTTTAGAACTTAGGTCCGTAGTGTAAATATCCCCATGTTTGAGAATTGTGCTCCCTGTCTTGTGAGAGATGCTGCGCATTGTGGAAAGAGACCCTTTGAGAGATGGTCACTCCCAAACCATTAAACCATTGTTATTTTGCGTTTCTGCTCAACAAAATTGCAGGTCCTGATGACATTGTCATCCCGACGATATACATAGACCTTCTCAAGTCATAAAGAAGGCTGGCAAAGATGTCCAAGACACCTTCAGACAGGTAGGCAAGACAAGGACTGTGCAAAGTGGAGCAGTCCCAAGTCAGCTTCTTCAGAAGAGGATATCTTTGTCCCACCACACACAAAAGTGCTACCTGCTCCACCGACATCTCGCTCTTTCCCACAGATCAATCAATTGCTTCCCACTCTTGCAGTCAGCTGCCAGAAAGAGTTCATTGTGAGCTATCTGGTTCACTTCACTATCATCTATTCACTAAGCCCCAGTGTCTATTCTGGTGTCTGACTGACATTCAATTTTCTGAGAGCATGGAAACAGCGCAGCCCCACCGAGAGCGTGCGGAGACACGTTTTTCACACACATACACACATTCTCAGGCAATCCCTGTTCTTTGCTACACTCTGGAAAGGAGACTTCAAGGAACGTGAAAAGATAAACTTGGTAACTTGTACGCAAGCCCTTGCAAGAAGCAAGTATTGGCTTCTTCTGTGAAATGTAGTTGGCTTCTGTTTTCCCCAGTAATGGAAAACGCAGGAATTCAGCAGGAATTCAAGTCCATCTGGGACCACCCACGTTTCTCCAGTCAACTGAGATGATTAAAGGTCTGGGAGACTAAAACGGCATGAAGAACGGTTGCAGGAGTTGGGTATGGCCAGTCTAGAGAAAAGAAGGACTAGGGGTGACATGATAGCAGTCTCCCAGGATCTGAGGGGCTGCCACTGAGAAGAGGGGGGTCAACCTATTCTCCAAAGCACCAGAAGGCAAGACGTGAAACAACGGATGGAAACTGATCAAGGAGAGAAGCAACCTGCAACTAAGGAGAAACTTCCTAACAGCGAGGACAACTAACCAGTGGAACAGCTTTTCTTCAGAAACTGTGGTTGTTTCATCACTGTAGGCTTTTAAGAAGAGACTGGACAGCCCCTTGTCTGAAATGGCATAGGTTCTCCTGCTGGAGCAGGGGGCTGGACTAGAAGACCTCCAAGGCCCCTGCCAGCTCTACTCTGATTGAGTTGAATTCAAACTTCAATCAACTGCATATAAGTTCTGTAGCAGAGTAAAAACGTGCACCCTTCCCTGATGGTTTCTCGTCTCTACCTGGAGGGAGATTCCTTCAACCAGAAAAGTCACTTTGTGTACAAGTTAGGTAATCTCCCCATCTGATTAATGCTGCAAGTTTCAGAGAGGGTGGAAAATTCTAGGAGAACTTAGTTGACGACATCCGTGTGGCCTCAGTTTCCTCATGACTCAAAATCTACCATGGCTTTTCAGAAAATAAATGAGCTTAATGAGTAAAGCATAGAACAGAACACTCCCCAAAATTTCCTGGGGGTTCAGCTATCATTCAGCTGATGTAAAGGAAAGTTTTACTTTTTCCCTGAAAGTAAAGGTCAGACAAAACCCAACACACAACACCAAGGCAAAACCCAACCCACAATTCCATGGTACAAAGCAGAAGGTCAAACCCAGAAGTACAGTCTACTATAGGGGTCCCCAACCCCTGGTCCATGGACCGGTACCGGGCTGTGGCATGCCAGCAACCGGGCTGCACAAACAAGCAAAGCCCCATCTGTGGGATGTAGGCAGCACACAAAACTACACACTACAGTCGGTGGAAAAACCTCTTCCCCATGGAACCGGTCCCTGGTGCCCAAAAGGTTGGGAACCTCTGGTCTACTACACATCCTTCTTTCAAGCAAGCCTCTTCACAATTAATTGTGCTTTCAAACAATTGAACAACTTGAAAAGAATCCCAGAGGCCTCCAACAACTCCTAGTGAGGTCACAAACCCTTACTGTAACACTAGAAACCTTAAAAGTCAACAAGATTCTGTCTGGGGTTTCCACACTACCGCATGTGAAGAACAGGCCAAAATTTATGGGTTGTTCCAACACTGAATAAGCTAGCCAACATCTGGATCCATCTAGGGCACTTTCCTACTCTGGGCAACTCGCAGATTCAAGGCCATGAGCAAACCAGTCAGAAGAGCCAATCCTGGAGAAGATGTAGATCAGGGGTCTTCAAACGTGGCCCTTTTATGACTTGTGGACTTCAACTCCCAGAATTCCTCAGCCAGCATGGGGGAACTAAGGCCCCTTCATGACTTGTGGACTTCAACTCCCAGAATTCCTCAGCTAGCATGGACTGGCTGAGGAATTCTGAGAGTTGAAGTCCACAAGTCATAAAAGGGCCAAGTTTGAAGACCCCTGATGCAAATAGATGGAGAAGCTCCTCAATCAATCAATCAATCCCTTTATTGGGATTAAAACAGAAACATCTGACCCCAGAAGCATATAGGAAACATTTGGATTACTTTCTACGTATGGGCATTAAGATACTTTGTGTTGCTTATACAATTTAAAAGACTAGACCCTCATCTTAACCATGGTCTGGGCAAGTGGTGGTAGGGGAGTCAACACAAGCCAATATGGCAGCCACCACTGCATAAAACTGGAAGTGATGCGAGGGAGAGAGAGAGAGCGACAGAGAGAGAGATGGGCTTCCTTTGTTAAGTTTCAGTCTCCATCTTGACTGGGGAAAATGGTGTAGGAGTAGAAAGGGTGTAGGGACTCCTGCTTAGGCAGGGGGTTGGACTAGATGACCTCCAAGATCCCTTCTGGCTTCTAATTCTAATTAACTCTACTCCACTCCACTCCGTTCCATGTAGTCTGTTTCTGTTCTGTTCTATTCAGACCCCTCTCCCCAAAAAGCTGGGGGGCTCTAACCCCACCTCGGTTTTTTGTTTTGTTTGTTTGTTTGTTTTTTCCATGTTTCATTTTTCTCACAAGGCCTCTGTGGCCAATTAAGAGCGCTTCAATTAAGATCAATTGAAGCTGATATTTGTTTTTTTTTGCCAAGGATGCTGTTTTTTCCAAATTACTCTCGCTCCTTCCCCCCCCCCGCCCCAGCGGCAGGCGAGGGGGCAAGGGTGGGCGAGGCTGCCCCCAAGACCCCAGACCCAATCAGACCCCATCGGGACCGACCCTGGCCTTTTTGCAAGCTGCTTCCTGCTTCCGCAAGCCTTTTCTCTCGCCCTCCTTTTTTGCACCGGGAAAAGGCTCGGGGGGGGGGAGGGAAGGACGGGGGGGGGAACTTCCCGGGTGGATCCCAAGCCTGGTTTCCCCCCCTCCCCCCGGCTGGGGGCTCGGGCAGCGGACGAAGTCAACCTGCCCCCTTTTCTCCCTGTCCCCCCCTCCCGGCCTTGCCACGACTCCCCCCTCCTCAAATTGCAAAGCGGCGCTCTCACCTGGCGTCCCAGGTGCGGCGGCAGTCCGGAAAGAGGCTGGGTGGGAGGGGGCTTCCCTGCTGGCTCTTCCCAACGGACAGTTCTCCCTCCCCAGGCGCTCTGCACTTGCTCAGAGGCCGCCCTCAGGACCCCTGGAGCCCCTGTTTTTTTTGGGGGGGGGAAATGGGAGCCCCTGCCCCCTCCCTTCCCCAGGCGCTCTGCACTTGCTCAGAGGCCACCCTCAGGACCCCTGGAGCCCGTTTGGGGGGGGGGGAATGGCAGCCCCTTCCCCCCCCATCTTCCAGCCCTGCCTCCCTCCTCCCCAGGCGCTCTGCACTTGCTCAGAGGCCACCCTCGGGACCCCTGGAGCCCCTGTTTTTTTCTGGGGGGGAATGGGAGCCCCTTCCCCCCATCTTCCAGCCCTGCCCCCCTCCTTCCCTTCCCCAGGCTCTCTGCACTTGCTCAGAGGCCGCCCCCCCCAGGATCCCTGGAGCCCCCGTTTTTGGGTGTGTGTGTGTGTGTGTGTGTGTGTGTGTGTGAACGGAGCCCCTTCCCCCCCGTCTTCCAGCCCCCGAGCGCCCCCCGCTCTCCGCCGGGCTCTGCCCCCCTACCCAGAAGACGAAGTTGAAGCCGAAGAGCAGGTATTTGATGCACTTGGTGCCTCCTTTGACCGGCATCGCGCCGGGCGAGCGGGCGGGCGGGCGGGCGGGCGGCGGGCGAGGAGGAGGAGGCGAGGCAGGGGCGCTTCCCGGTGCGGCGGGGGCGGCGGTGGCTGCTTTGCTGCTCGGCGGGACGGCGGAGTTTGATCCGGTGCTTCTCCTTCTGTCTCTCTTTCTCTCTCTCTCTTTCTCTCTTTCCTTCTCTCTCTCTCTCTCTTTTTCTCTCCAGCCACTCCTCCGCTCGGCCCTTCCTGGAGTCGAGCCTCGCCCCGCTTCTCCGACAGCCCAGCCCAGCCCTGCCTCGCCCTCCCTTCCCTTCCCTTCTTCCCTTCCTCCCCCCGGAGCGCTCCAGTCCTGCCCTGCCCTCCCCGCTCCCTCCCCCGCCGAGCCACACCTTCGGCCCGGCCCGGGAAGGCAGCCAAGGACGGGCGGGATTCCCCCCACGCACCCACGCACCCCCCCTTCGCCCTCCCGCCTGCCTTGTTCCGAAGGCAGAAAACCCCACTGGGCTCTTTTCAAAGACGGGGGGGGGGAAGAGAAAAAAAAGAATAGATTGGATGGGGCACCTAGACCCAATTGACACAGGGAAGGATTATGGGAGTGAGGATGCTTGTAGAGTCCAGAGTCCAAGAATAGGCCACCTTGGCTCTTTTATGACTCTTGGACTTCAACTCCCAGAATTCCTGAGCCAGCATGGGGGAAACTGTGACCCCCTCATGACTCATAGACTTCAACTCCCAGAATTCCTGGGAGTTGAAGTCCACAAGTCATAAAAGAGCCAAGGTTGCCCCCCCCCCTATCGGGTTTTCTGCCTGAGCAGGGGGTTGGACTAGATGACCTCCAAGGTCCCTTCCCACCCCTGGTATAGGCAATAATGAGAATTGATTGTCTTATGATTATATGATTAAAAATGAAACTGGGAGCAGATTGGAGGCAATTATGGGTGCTGGGAATTGATGCTAGGTGATTATACGATTATATAGGGGTAGGCAACCTTGGCTCTTTTATGACTTGTGGACTTCAACTCCCAGAATTCCTGAGCCAGCTAGGGCAGGGCAGAATTCTGGGAGTTGAAGTTCATGAGTCATAAAAGAGCCAAGGTTGCCTACCCCTGCTCTAGACCAACTTGGCAACTTAAAGCCTGGCGGACTTTAATTCCCAGAATTCCCCAGCTAGCATGTTTGCTAGCTAGTGAATTCTGGGAGTTGAAGTCCGCAGGTTTTAAAGTTGCCAACGTTGGACCGTCCCGAGTCTAGACTCTACAACAGGGGTCTTCAAACGTGGCCCTTTGATGACTTGTGGACTTCAACTCCCAGCCAAACTCAAGTCCTGCAGCCGTTCTTCGCGTGTTTCGGTCTCCAGGCCTTGGATCCTCTTAGTTGCTCTTCTCTGAACTTTTCCCAAACTCTCAACATCATTTTTGTGATATGGTGACCAAAACTGGCTGTAGTATTCCAGGTGTGGCCTCACGAGGGTTTTATAAAGCGGTACTAATACCTCGCGTGATCTTGATTCTATGCCTCTGTTTATACAATCCAGGATTGTATTGGCTTTTTTGGCCGCTGCTGCACACGGCTGGCTCACGGTCAAGTGATCGTCCACTAGGACTCCAAGGTCCCTCTCACAGTTGCTGTTTTTGAGCCAGGTCTGATTTAGGCTAAAACATACAAGGAACGGTTGCTGGAATTCGGTATGTCTAGTTTAATGAAGAGAAGGACGAGTGGGGGCATGATAACAGTCTTCCAATATCTCAGGGGCTGCCATAAAGAAGAGGCAGTCAAGCTATTCTCCAAAGCGTCTGAAGGCAGAACAAGAAGCAACAGATGGGAACTCATCAAGGAGAGAAGCAACCTGGAACTAAGGAGAAATTTCCTGACCGTTAGAACAATTAACCAGTGGAACTCCTTGCCTCCAGAAGTTGTGAATGCTCCAACACTGGAAGTTTTTAAGAAGAGATTGGACAACCATTTGTCTGAAATAGTATAGGGTTTCCTGCCTGAGCAGGGGGTTGGACTACATGACCTCCAAGGTCCCTTCCATCTTTATTATTATTATTATTATTGTTGTTGTTGTTGTTGTTGTTGTTGTTGTTGTTATGGAACATTGCACAGTAAGCCAGATGTTCAGACTGGATTTGGCATTTTGTCTACCTATCGAGTCCTTACCCAGGACCTGGGATAGGCAGATGTGGATGTTGGATGGTATTACAGGTATCATCGCAGGATGGAAGCAGTTCCTAGTAAGGCTGCCTTTTGCAATTGACTAATAGTGAATTTGTCAATGCCAATGGTGTTCAAGTGGTCCTCCAGTTGTTTTGGGATTGCACCCAAGGAGCCTATGACTATTGGTACTACCCTTGCTTGCTTTTGCCACAGTCTTTCTATTTCTATTTATAGGTCTTTGTATTATGTTATATAATAATAATAATAATATAATATAATAATATTAATATAATAATAATAACAAAATAGAAAGATTAGTATTATTATTATTCCTACTACTATTATTATTATTACTATTATTACTATCATTATTTATTCCTTCCCTTTCTTCACCCACGTCATTAGAGTCTGGAACGGAATCTTGTTCCTCGTCTCGGTTTCTCCTTCCAGCTCAGTGACGAACTCTTGAAGAGTCCGCCTTGATCGTAGTCAAGGGAACTGTTTGAGCAACAAGAACCAGCCCTTCCCACTGTGACTTAAGTGGGTGTCATCTAAAAATACAGATGTGGAGCTTAGCAGGGAATCAGTGACAACACACGTATCACAATGTCATCACTTACTCCCGTGACGTAAATTTTGAGAGGTCCCGGGTGCTCTCTGAGCTTGGCTGTTTCCTTGAAGATGTTTCGTTACCCAAGCCAGCTAGCATGAATCAGTGACTGGCATTGATGATGTTACCTAGTTGGGTAACGAAACGTCTGCAAGGAAACCACCAAGCTCTGAGAGCATCCGGAACCCCTCATTTCAACCCTGGGCTACAAAGATTCTCCTTTATTGATGCGAATTTTTTAATAGCATGGAATTCGCCAGTCTGACACACAGTTATCGGTCTTGATTGCCACCACAGATGGTGCTGTTTTTATGCTCACCGTTTTAGGGCACCGTTTCTGTCCGTCTTGTCCCTCCAGGTATCTTTACTACCTGGTAAGAACCGGGATGAAAAGGGTTGGCTTCTTCTTGATCAGTTTGGCGAATAAACATGGCATCGTTACATCTCAAACTTGGGTCAAGGGATGAGAACTTGAAGTCCAGTCCAGAGGAGAACGATGGAGTTGGTTCACCAAAATTCAACTCCTGTGTGGAAGTGGAAGGAAGAGTCTGAAGGGGCTGGAAAAACAGGTCCACGAACTGGAAGAGGTTCTTGTTTCTTGACTGTCATCAAGAGTCCCATACGTGCCTTTGGAAAGGAGTGCTTTTATACACTTAGTGTGGATGGCTGAGTCTCTTCTTGAGGTGGTCCTATCCCTTGAAGCATCGTCTTGAGAATCCTAGGAGAGTTGCAATGGATGTAAAATACAGACCACGGCTAGACTGATTATCGGACAAGGATTCCGTGATACCCCTTTGGGTTGCCAATGACTCTCCAGGCAAAATTGTAAGTGTTGGCGTTAACTACCCAAAGCCCTAAATGGCCTTCAGCCCAACCTTCTGGAGTTGTAATTCTCACTGCCTTTAGGAGCCGAAGTTCCTTCATAAGTCATCTGATCGAGAAATTGTCTACCAACTCTCCATGTTGGAGCTTTTTGCTGGCTCTTCCTTCTGCCTGGGCCTGTAACGTGTCCTTCGTTTTCCCCCACGGCTAGTTGGACTGGTTTGACAGCATTGCTGTACGCTAGAAAAGCCCAAGGAGGGCTGTCCTGTTTACCGTGTACGACTAATTGGATTCATTGGTGTTTAATCAAGGGGACGGGCACTTAGGAGTGCCTTTTCTCTAGCAGTCTTCCAGTATCTGAGGGGCTGCCCCAAAGAAGAGGGGGTCACATTATTCTCCAAAGCACCTGAAGGCAGGACGAGAAGCAACGGATGGAAATTAATCAAAGAGAGAAGCAACCTGGAATAAAGGAGAAACTTCCTGACAGTGAGGACAATCAACCAGTGGAACAGCTTTGCCTTCAGAAATCGTGGGCGCTCCTTCACTGGAGGTTTTTAAGAAGAGACTGGACAGTCACCTGTCTGAGATGGTATAGGTCCTCCTGCTTGAGCAGGGGGCTGGACTAGAAGACCTCCAAGGTCCCTTCCAGCTTCTATTCTGTTCTGTTCTGTTCTATTATATTATATTCTATTCTGCATTCTATTCTATTCTATTTTCTATTCTATTCTGTTCTGTTCTATTCTATTCTATTTTCTGTTCTGTTCTGTTCTATTTTCTCTTCTCTTCTCTTCCATTCTCTTCTCTTCTCTTCTATTCTCTTCTATTCTATTTCTTATTCTATTCTATTCTATTCTATTTCTTATTCTAGTCTATTCTAGTCTAGTCTAGTCTATTCTATTGCAATGCTAAGCCGAGGACTACCCATGATCAGCTCTCATAATTTTCAGAGTCCATAAAAAATTCAAACTTGTAGGCAAATGAAGAAGACTCGGGAAGATTCTAAATTTAGCCAAGAGGTTGTCTAACCGCCGGTTTAAAATTACCCTGGGAAAAAGCTTTCATTGTTCTGCTTGTTTTTTCCGCGGGACAAGGGGCTGTCGCAAGGCTCGTCCTACACAATGAGTAACATGCACTGTCTTGCACAAGAGTTAAGTCAACACCCCGAAACGGCTGCGTCATTTTCCAACTTGGGGGGAAAGGGTGTTGCTTCAATGCTCAACAGAGATCTGCAATATGAAGGTCTCGTTCCCCTACATTCATAATCATCGGGGGGAGAAAAAATGCAGAATTTCTTCACTATACTGTAAATTTGCATTAACTAGGGGAGCTAAAGAGCCACCGGTGGATAATGCACAGATAGTCCTCGAGGTAGAACAGTTCATTTAGTGACCGTTTGCAGTTACAACGCCGCTGAAACGGCCTTTTGCAGCTTCCCCATAATCACGTGATCAAAACTCAGACCCTTGACAACTGACATGTACTTAGGACAGTTGCACTGTCCGTGTGTGTGTGTGTGTGTGTGTGTGTGTGTGTGTGTGTGTGATGTGATCATCGTTTGCGACCTACTGACAAGCAACGGGGGAAGTCAGATTCACTTAACGACCGGGTTACTTAGTTTAACAGCTGCAGCAATTCATTTAACGGCTGTGGCAGAGAAGGTCGTAAAAGGGAGCAAAATTCACCTGGCCGCCATCT